AAAATAAAGGGCTGTAGATTCATTGTTATGTCCATAATCATATCTTCTGCTGTGAGAAGAGTGAGGGAATGGGGAGTCCTCTTTCACGTCCTCCTGACAAAATGTGTATAATGATTACAAGCATAGAATAAGAACGTTTGTCCTAGCTAAATGTTTATTCACTTCTGTTAATCAGAATGGGTTTGAGAGTGGGCCACAGTCCGTGGAAGCAATGCAATCACTCCAGCACTGTGGCAGATTTAAATCAGTAATAAAAGCCCTGGGGAAATTAACAAGACAAAACATTAACCACAGACTAAACATTAACATATATTAGCATTTTTATTACACCTGTAGAAATGGCAAACGGGCTTGGTTACTACTATTAAAAAGTTTATGTTCTATCCCCGATCATTGCAATGTATATTTTGTTTTAAGCCCTTTAGAATTTAATTAAGCTGATTTCTGTCGCAGCGTTTGAGTAATAGACTTCAGGTTCACTTTTATGGTGACTTTGAAGATAAAGAACGCCTTCATCCCCTGTTTATAATGCTAATGATACGTGTGACATTTAGCAGAGCGGGCTGTGAAAAAGCCACAAGGAGAGGGGAGGCAGCGCCAGTGCGCAGAGCTGCTCTGCTGTTCTCAGGGTGAGTGGCCAAAGCGGGATCCTGCATGGGATGATGCTCAGGGCTTTGTGGGTTCTCCGAAGGCAGCGTGTTTTTTCCAGGTCTTTGGTCTGTTCTGAGCGAAGCTGCGTACTGTGGCAAATCGCCCTTTGCGAGGCTGTGTTCAAATCACTTACAGTAGTTAATCGCTTCTCAGTTTAATGCGCAGCTTCTCCCGAAGGGAACTCGGAAATAGGTATAAAATGACATATGTGAACTGCAGAGAGTGGAGAAGATTGCGGGAGGAAATCTTTAAAAATGAGGCCATCCCCTTGAGGGGGGGAAAAAAGGGGGAAAAAAAAAAAAGTACTGTCTCTTCCTGGAGAATGAATCTATAAGCAGAAGAAGAGAAGACAAATGGAAACTCTACTTAAACTTTAAGTGAAGGTCAAATACAGGAAGCTGTCCTTTGGAGCAGAGCTTGTGGTCTGGATGGGAAGCTGCTGCAGCAGGTACCCAGCTTGTCTGGTGCACCCTTATCTTCTAGGGGAGAGCTGATAAGCTTTTTTTTTTTTTTTTCCCAGAAAGCTTCTAGGAAATTGCCTTCAGAATGCTCACACCTCTTAGAGGTGGTGCTCAGATTGGTGTGGGGCATCACATGTGTGCTGCTTCCCAGCTATGGGTGCCCCATCCTAGAGGTGCCCAAGGTTGGGTTGCATGGGGCCCTGGACAGCCTGAGCTGGTGGGGGGCACGCAGCCCACAGCAGGGGTTGTAATGAGAGGGACTTTAAGTTCCCTTCCAATCCAAGCTGGTCTGTAATTCCCATGTGTCTATTGCAAGCCAAGTCCTTTGGCATCTCTAAATTAATGGAGGAGCGCTGAGATGGGCGGATGGTGCTCCATTAGGGTTTTCCCTGTGCTCCTCTCAGATCAATGCTCTCTCCCAGGCAGAGCCATTACCCAGCCCCTAGGGTGTGGGAGACAGCTGCCTGCTGCCTTTGGGGACGTACCTATGCTGGGCTGCCCCGAGGCTGTGGGGCAGACGTGGGGGTGTGTGGTGGTCAGTGGGAGGCAGTGCCACGCTGCGTTGTGCTTCCTTGGAGAATGCTAATGAAATCAAGGAATTAGCAAGCTTATTAATGAGGAGCAGGGAAACCTGGTTTTGGCAGTTGAAGTAGTGGTGGTGTTGGGCACTTTTGAAAGTTTGGGGATTTGGGAGAGGTGTTGTGTTGTGTGCCCTGGCAGCAATTTTAAATTCTTGTATAAACTAACCAAAAAGCCCAACCCATTTTGTATAAAAATCATTCTGCCATTTTATTATTCATTTTCTGTAGCGTAATGCTTCAAGCTGCAGCCTGTTCTGGGACATGAAATAAGACCTCAACATTCTCATACTGAATATACTTCTGATAAGGTTTTGTGTGTGTTTATGATGCCTCTGACAGCACTCAAAGCCACAGATCCATTGGCTTCGTTCTGTGGGTGTGCTTTGCATTCCACGTTTGTTCCTTTGTCGCATCTCAGATTGTCATTTTCTGGACTCTAAAATTTGGAGCTTGCTTTAGAATAGTAATGATGGTCGGGAAAAGCTTGGAGAACAGAGTCTGTGTGTTTTAGTTGCAGCAGGGATGCAAAGAAGAGGAAAGATGGAAACAGACTTGCTGAGATGTTGTCCCAGGACCACTGGTGGCCCAGCAGGCTGCAGCAGATGGCTTGTGAACGCCTTTCCCCCCTCCGATGCACACCCAGTCCTGCCCCTGCAAATGAGCAGGCAATCTGTTACTTCTACATTCTCTCACTTTGCTTAATGTTCAAATCCCAGCTGGATTTTTGACTGAAAAGTGACGATCATTTGGCTGTGACTTCACAAGATGAGATGCACATTGGTGTGATTTTTTTTCCTGAGAAGGTCAATTGGTCCTTGAATAAATAACTAAGTAAGAACTTGCAGCACATGCTGCCCAAACTTTCCAACTTCATGCTTGCCAAGACTACATCTGCTGCCTGTTTTGGGGCTGTGTTTGTTGAGAGGGCTGCCGTTTGGGGTTCTATCTGTTGCACTCTCCTGCAAAGCCCCAGTGCTGCCTGGGCCCAGCTCTGGGGCTCAGCCCAAACAGCAGAGGAGTTGCATGGCCCCATCCAGCCGGGTGCTTTGCTTTTTGAAGTGGTGCCTCAGATGGTGCCATTGTTCCTGCTGTCACTTGGGCCCTCCTCTCCCATTCAGCACACTTCAGCATCCTTGGAAAAAAAAAAAAAGCCTTGATCCTGGCCTTGCTCTTCTCTCAGAGTTCAATAGGCTTTGCCAGCTGAAAGGCTGCTTTCAAAGGGGGAAGGGAGGCTTTTCAGAGTTGGGGGGAAATCAAAGGGGATCATCACAAATGGCTGCTTAAAATAACCGACCTTTTCCTGGGTCTCTCCTCTGCCTTGCATTCCTGTGCAGAATGTGGGTGCGACGGTGGAGCCTTTGTTGCTGCTCATTTTGTGCCCTCTGTCTCTCAATGTCTGCATGCCCTGTCTTTCCCTTTTAGGGTTTGGAGCAGAACCTCTCTCTGACCCCTCCACTGTCTCAGAGGGCACCTTTTGGGATGAGATGTGCAGCACCTCATATGTCCTCAGAATTGTTTGAGTTGGAAGGGGCCTTTAAAGGCTATCTGGTCCAACTCTCCTGCACTGAGCAGGGACACCCACAGCTCCATTACTGTGCTCAGAGCCTCATCCAGACTGACCTCGGGTGTCTGCAGGGGCACCTGCCACATCTTTGGCAACCTGTGCTAATGCCTCACTACTCTTATTGGGAAAAACTACTTTCTTTTCCAGTTTGTCTCTCATCTTTTAATTTGAAACCACTTCTCCGTGTCCTATTGCAACAAACAGAAGCTGCAGTGCCTGGCTTCCCGTGTGGCTTCACTTTTACTTTGTACTGTATGGCATCCTGAGCAAAAAAGCTATGACTCTTGATAACGAAACAGATGACGTTTGTAATTTATTTGCCCGTGCAATAGAATGGAATTAATCTCTTCTTGCACATCAGATGCTCTTAGCTTTGGGCAGTGGGTGTGCTTTTAATCGCTGTGCTGCTCAGGGCTGTTCAGCAGCTGTTGTGATGTGGAGCTCAATGTGGTGCTGCTGGGATCGTATTGTAAGTACATGGTTGGTTCCAAGCCTGGATGTGGGTAATGGGATGGGGCTTGAGGAAAGTGGAATCAATGTTGGCTGTGATGCTTTTGTGGTCCCTGAGCATTCTCCAAGGGTGCCCTACAGAAGTCCTGTAGAAACGTTGATAGGTTTGGTGCATTGATAGCTGTACTAAACGATCTTAGTAGTCTTTTCCAACCTCAGTGATTTTATGATTCTAAGCGGTTCAGAAGGCATTTCCTAGCATTGGGTTGGCCTGGTGGTGCCATGGTGGGGTAGCTGTCCATTGTCAGTGTCCTGCAGAAGGAGATGGGCACAGTCCCACCTGCAGTGGGATTGCAGCAGCAGTGCCATGAAGCTGGCATGGAGTCATGGGGCAGCGGCCATGTGGGAGAAGTTTAATGAGATCTTTTGGATTCTTGCCACTGCAGCCACTTACCGAATCATCATCTGTATGCTAATGACCTAATTTGTGTCATTAACAGAGACCTGTTAATCAAGACCTCCCATGGCATGACTCAGCTGGAGCCGCAATGCTTGCTGTATTTTAGGTTATGATTTTCTTTCAATTAACAATGATACGTATGATGCTCAGCCCTGGGTACCAGCTGCATGAGCTCTGCAGATGCTGAGCTGCTTTGAGCTGCAGAATGTAGGGCTCAGGATCTGCCTTTTGAAGGGAGGTGTTTCCTAACAATCTGGCTGGAAAGGTGGAGAGTGGTACCCTGGGTTGCTGCGAATTTGGGGAAGGAAGGAATGGGGAGCATGAGCATCTTTCTGCCAGTGTGGGTTTAACTCAACAGAAGGGTGCTTGTTCAGGAGTTGAGCTGCATCCTTATGGCAACAGTTTTGTTTTTGGGCTCTGGGATGTGTGTGGGTGGGAGTCCCTCAGGCATCACCTTGGTATGTGCATCCTTGTTGGGATGGTGTCTTCACCTTCCAGGGCAAGGTGTGGGACAACTTTAAAAAGCCTCAAAATCAGACTCAAGTGGGTCTTTGCTCATAGGGAGATCGAGTGCATCAATGTGTTCTCTGCTAATTATTTCACTACTTTTTTTTTTTTTTTTTCCCCTGGAATGGGGCATTGTAAGTGAAGTGAGAAGTAACATAGAGTCCTAGATCCATTCTGAGAGTGATTTGGGAACTCTGGGGTTGCTGGAGGTAGGCAGTGGTGTACAAAGTTCCTAACCCTCTAGACAGCAGCGTGCATCTTTCTTGTCTTCCTTCAGTACTTACGGCCCTGAAATTCCCTCATTCTGTGGTGTTTGTGTGTTCCAGGTCAGCCGGCTCTGCGGTCACGCTCAGCAGAGGCAGTATCGATCCACTAATTACCCTGAAGACCTCTTCATTGACAAAAAAGTCCTGAAGGTGACTCGCATAGAGCAGGAAGAAACGCTGTCAAGCAGGAGGAGGTAAGTGTACAAAATGCCATTGCTGGGTTTCCTGAGCATTGCTGCTGTGCCAGATGTACCCCCAGCTAGAAATGGTGGCTGTCAGCTGAAATGTTGCGTGAAGCAACGTGCAGCCAGTGGGCTTATTTCACTTTATTTCTCTGCAGTCTTTCACAGTAGTTCAGAAATATGTACAGCCTTCCACTGCATATTTCAGAGTGAAGCAGGTGCTGTGCCTTCACTGCTCTTGTAAATACAATAAAAATCTGTGCAGAAAAGGGCAAATTCAGCCCTTCTTTACCTGGGGATGGACTGGCTTGGAGCAACAGAGCCGCATTCCTGATATGGGTTCCCATGAGATAGCAGCAGGACTCACATTCCTCCCTTGTCTCGACATGTTGGAGATGCTGTTTGAGGACTACACAGCCTAATGAGATCTGCTGCAACAAATCACACAAGCTCATACCTGCAGATATGGAGGAGTTTCTCCTGTCTTCTCCCTGCCCTGCTTGAAGCTCTGGGCAGCAGGAAGGCTTTCTTTTTCCTATTCTCCCTGATGCTGCTTGGGTGTGCAGGATGTGAATAGCTGGGCATGACGTGAATTAGCTTAGGGTTCCCCAGTCAAACTCTTGTTTACTGGTGTGGATAAGGGAAGATGGGTTGCGGTAGGCTGACAGGCTGTGCTGTGCTGGGCCGGGGGGTGGGGGGGGAGGTGTTCGAGTTCCCATTGCTTCTCCTTCGATCTCCGCCTGCAAAACCCAGCACAGGGCTTTCCCTTGCTTCGTCTGCCCCCAGCTGGCAGCCGGCAGCTTGGGCTGGAGAGGAGATCCCGAGCCCACAGGAACCTCAGCAAATCCCCGCTCCGGGAGAGGGATGCGGGGAGCCTGGTACGCCCTGAGAAATAACTGATTGCCAGAGAGATAAATGTACTGAGCTGCAGCCAGGAGGTTGTGAGGCCAAGCCTGATCTCCTCCAGTTCCCTACTGTTCATATTCCTATACTCTGTGCAGTGTTTACCTAATCAAATCTGCTGTCATTTCCTAGTGACAGCTGTTGATCGTCCCCAGGTCACCTCTTCCATTGCAAGCTGCACACCTAAGCTGCAAGGACTGCTGCATCCTGTGCCCCATTTCTGGCTGCTTAGAGCCCTGGGGTTGACCCATGCCCTGGTCCCTGTGGACCACTGCTGGGAGGGACCTGCCTGGGCCAGGTGACCCTGGTGATGCTGTGGGCTGAGGTCCTGCTGCATCTCCTCCATCGGGACAGTTCTGCCCTGAAAAGCACGGATTCATCCCTTGGCCAGATATCATTGGAGAATGATGCACCATGCTGCTTGAGGTCACAGACAAGACTGATGCTTTGTGGCCTGTTTGTATTCTGCTGTCCTCCTGTTGTGTTTGGCCATGTTGACTGCCTTCACTGGTTAAATGCCATCAACCCTATATTTTCTTTTCGTGACTGAGAACCAATTTTTTTCCCTTTCTTCCAGGGAACTGATTATGAAACTGAAGTCTCACAGTGATTTTTACAGCAGCTTGCCAGAGTACATCTGCAACCACAGCTCTGCTGTTCAGAACGACACCATTTGCTGGAATGGGCAAGAAGTCGTGGAGAGGTGAATCATTTCTGCCTTCTCTTTCCCCAGCACTGCTCATCATTTCTTATCCAGACCAGGACACTGCTTATTGCCTTAAGAAACCTTTGGCATAACTGGCATCTGCTCGTGTTGCAGCTCAGGTTGATGTGCAAAGCGTGGAGGGGAGAAATAGTTGTGTGCACCCTCCACTGAGCTCTCTGTGTTCTGCTGTGAAATCCCTGTGGCCACAGGCAGGTTTTGTTGCAGTGAGCCAGAGAGAGGGGAGAGGCAGCAGCTCAGCACAGCCACGCACAGAGGTTATGGGTTGGGTACATGGAGGGGCACATGCAGGCTGCACTTGCTGTGATGGTGATAACAGAGAATACAAGAGTGTGATTAATAGCATAAAATGGAGGGGGGAGGAGGGGAATGTTAATAAAATTGGAGCATTTCCTTGCAAAAATTGTCTCTTAGGAATGTAAATGTGGAAATAGAACTTGGAAATGTTTTTTTTTAATAATTATATTTAATTCTTCTTTAATAACTCTACTTTGCAAAGCATCTTTTGCTATTAAGTCATTTGCATAAGGGAGGAAATAGAAATAAAATCAGGAAGCTGTTGAGATATTAATTAGAACTTCTTGATTCGGTAACCATCCAGTGGTGATTAGCCTGTGCTTGCAATACTGGCCTGAAACACTGAAAGGACCAAAATAGCATCAAAATGTATTTTTAAAAGAATTATTTGAACATCTAAGATTGCAACCTTAGCCAATAGTGTTGCTTCAGTAGAGCTGAGACTGCCAAAACAGTGCTCTGGGTGCTGGGGCTTCCTGGCTGGGGATCCCTTTCAGGGAATCTGAGATCATTCCTGAAAATCAGGTGCATTCCAGGTAACCCCAACCACTGCTGTGTTTATTCAGCCTTTTCCCCCAGAGGGAGCCAAGCAGCTGTTCACTGCATGGAAGTGATTTTGCAAGCTACTCTGAGAACGCTGTGATGTGCCTGAATTTCTGGTGCAGCTACAGCCATCCTCCTGCTGGACTGACGTGCAACTGCTGGGCCTCATTCAGAGTCCAGTTTGCTGCTTTTCATGAGAAATGTGGTGCTTTTTGAATCCCTGGTTTCAATTTCAGGCTGTTGAGATGGTAGTTCGTCCTGTGTGTGTTACTGCTGTCAGAGGGGGGCCGGAGTTCCTGGGGAGACACGAGCCCTCCAGATGCCTGGAACAGCACAGGGATGGATGTGTGTGTGCTGTGTTACTGTATCTGGTGCTGTGCTGATTGGGCACTGCTGTGTCACTGAGCTCAGTGAGGTCTACATGGACCCATCTGGGCTTTGCTGGTGTTCTCCTAGGGCTTGTGGCCATTTACCTCTCCCATCCTTGATGTAGTTCCTAAGTGTTAATGAAATTAGAGAGAAACCCTAAGCCAGAGATGCTCAGTGCCTTCCTGCTGTGTCCCATTTCCCATGCTAAGCCCTGAACCACCCTGTTTCCTCCTTGCCCTTACCTCCCTCTGCCCTGATGGAGCACAGCATGTGCCTTTGGGTACTCCAGGTGCAATGTGCTCCACTGATGGCTTAGCACCACTCACCCTGCTTTCTGTATTTTAGCTTTTTTTCAAGAGATCCCTCCCACATTTTCTTTTATGTTGTTTTATTTTGTAGTCTTTTGTCCATCCTATTTACTTCTCCTGGTTGGCTAACTTAATAGCAAGAATTTGTCCTCCTTCCTGATTGATCTATGGGTTACTAGTTTGCTAACTTTCTCTTTTGGGGTTTTAAGATGCGATACCTTGGCCTGTCAGAAGGAATGCTTTGCTAGCTGTATGAGGACAACAGATTTCTCTGCTCATGCCCTGAGCAGTGCCTGTGATTTCGCTGTGCTGAACACAAGCCAAAGTGGGAAGAAAAGAGAAAAGGCAACGAGCTGCAGTTTTTCAAACTTTTCAGTGTACAAAAAACATCCCGTGCTGTGATTCCCACAGCTGATGCCCTAGCTGGATAATTAGCTCATGTAAAGCCTTCAACTTAAGCCAAGTGAGTGCTGAGATATTGAACTCATCTCAGTTTCTATGGGAGTTAGAATCTCGGAGGTGATTTGAGCTTTATATATAGCACCAAGTTTTTACAGCATTTAATACTAAAAGCCTATTAAAATCTAGATTCTCAGAGTTTAATAATCTGCTTACGCTGGTATATTCCTTCCAAGCTGTTCTGAATAGAATGACAGCAACATGTGCCTGCTGCAGAACTGGTAAGTGCTTTAAGTCTTACTGTTAGATATTACCATTTCCAAATTGCTTCAGACAAACTCGTCTGTTAATCTAAATCACCCGCGTAACTCTTGTTCTCCTTATACCAATTCCAAATTAATATATTTTTAGCACCTTGCCAGATCCTCTTCTTCAAGCTAGGAGTCTCAGATTTCCCTGTTTTTGCCAGCGTGCTGTGGTTTGTTTTAATCATACGAATCATAAACAATGAAAGCACAATTGGAAGCAAGGGAGAAAAATGAGATTCTGTAATTGGAACAAAGGAAATTCCATGCCAGCAATAACCCTTTAGCTCATGAAGGGTTTGGTTATTTCTGGCAGCGCTGCAAAATATCTGATACAATGGAGTCCCCAAAGAGGGAGGCTGTATAACTTTTCAAGCACATAAAACACAGCTTTGTAGCAAATGTAAGCTATAATGAAAGGATAGTAGGCAAATTCAGTGGGTTATTGAGTGGCCATAATTGTTTCCAGAGTATTTCAGAAATGAAGAACCATGAATCTTCCTATATTAAGCCTGCTGCTTGGTCTTAAGTTTAACCAATCCTTCCAGAATCTATTTGTCTTGAACTTTACTGAATTGATGTAAGAATGGAGGGAGGCTTCAGGCTGTCCTTTTACACTTCAAACTCCCATTGTTTGGCAATGAATAATGCAGTGTTTGCTGTTCTTACCTGAGACTTCGAGTTTTAATAAAAGCTAATATCTGCAGCACGCTTACCGCCTGCAGTGCAGCGTATAGAGCAGGTTGGAAGAGGCAGCGTTGCTCTTTGGCAGGGAAATATTGCAGCAAAACCTCAGAGGGTTCACATGGCAGTGAGACTGGGCTGGGAGGAAGGTGGAATTTGGAAATCCACCAGAAGATGTCTCTGTGATTTAGGTCTGAGCGCTCCCTGCTGAGAGCGCTGTGTCCTTTTGGTTGCTTTTGAAGAAACTTGCTCAGAGCTACTGGTGGTGTAAATCGGCTGTGACTTCTGGTATTTGTCCCGTTAAGGACTCCTGCCCTCCAAAGAGGCAAGATTTGGTCACTGAACTGTTTTGCAGCAGTCTGTGTTGCACAGATCTGGTAGAAGAAGAGCCTGCAAAGGATACTTGCTTGTAAATTGCTCAGTTGCATTTGATTAAGTACTGTGCAAGTGGAAGGCAAGCAGAAAGTGTTACTTTATTAAAAAAAAAAAAAAGCTTGCTTTTCTTTTTCTAGAAGGTGTAATTCTTTGTTTAGCTTAGAAGATTACTTTCTCTAAATCATATGTCAGGCTTTGCAGTAACTCATCTCTAATCCTAGCATGGCCAAGAAGGATGAACGCACATATTACTTTTATTGCCATATATTTAAATTGCATTTGTCATCTTGTCTACCTTGCTCTGAAATGAAAGCCAAGAAAGAGCTGCGTTTAGACTGGAATGACCAAACGTTCACAGGAGACGTTTATGGATGGTGGGGAGGAAAGGAGGAAATCCCTTAATGTGACTTTAGCCTTTGGCACTTATCTGGTGGATGAGAAGGAGAACAAAGGGTCTGTAGCTGTGCTATCCCTACAGAAAACTTGAGCTCATCAATGTTTTCATCAGGTGGTTGTCTTTTAAATTGTTTTTAGCAAGGGCTACATGACATTTGTCTTTGGAGAGTACTGTGACCCCAGCAAGAGCCTGTCCCCAGGGAGCCTGGGCAATGAGCTGCTGCTGACCAACATGGAGGCACATCAAAGAACAGAGCACTTTGAGCTTTGCTTATGAAGTGGAAGCCAAACCATGCTCATATTGCAACACTGATATCCCTTCAGTGCAGGGCTCCCATAACCATTGGGTGGACTTTACCCACTGTGTGTTTGCTTCCAGTGCTGTTGTCCCCACGGTAGATGTGTACCCCATTGATGGAGCTGCATAAGCAGAAGGGGCTGTGCTTTTGGCGCATGTTTAGAGTGGCTCAGGATATCTCAAATCTCTCTTTTTTTTTCCTTAACTGTGGCTGGGGAAACCTGCAGGAAGTGGGCACACAGAGGAGCTATGTGCTAGGAGCCCCTCATCCTCCATCTCTGTGGGGTCTCCAAAGGCATCTCCCTTTATATTAAGGTCCTTGGGGACCTAACTGCTTGGCCCAGGCTGCAGAGAGAGATGCCAGGTGCCCTTTGTAGCATTTCAAGAATGCTTGTCCCTCACTGAAACTGCATCTCAGAATCCTTAACCCTTGGTCTGGCAGCATCCTGCATACCTGAATGCATGGCAGCCTGCGCCTCTCCTGCAAGCTTGGCACCTTGTTATAGCTGCCTTCCTCCCTTATATGTGACCTTGTGTAGGTATAGAAATCCTTTCTGGCAATGCTGCCTGAATTTCAGAAGGGCTTTCACCCACTCAAAACCAAGCTATTGAGTTTCTTCGTGTAAAGCTTCTTAGGAGAGAGATTGTAATAATTCAGGTATGCACCAAACAGCAGCTCAGTTCTGCTCTTACTAAAACCTGTGGGAGATTTATCCAGCTAGTTAAATCGCTTAAACCACAGGAGATTTTTCCACTTTAAAGTGTTTCTAAATTGAGTTCACAGCGATGTGAAAAACAATAATTCCTTTGGCACTGTGACAGCCCTGTGTAGCATGGACGATTGTGTTCAGCTGCCAGACGCGTTCCTCAGGTTGGCACAGTGGCACGAAGTGACTCTGAGACAAATAAAGAGCAGGTTGAGTGGTTCGCTGCTTCCAGTGTTTTGTTCACCTGCAGGGGGTTAAATGCACTTCTGCAGAGCGGGGCTGCTCTGTGCTTGCGGCAGCGCTGGCTTCCCACGAGATGGAGCTCAGAGCACGCGGTCCCAGCTGGCTTTTGGCCGGGGGCTGTGAGCTCTCTCAGCCTGGAAGAAACGTCGGACTGAGTGGGGAAATGCCTTCCTGAGCTGGCAGCTATTGTGCCTTGGGTGTTATCTGTACCCGGTGCTTGCTCCGGTGTGAGGGGAGTGCTTGGTGCAGTGGGATGCTGAGTGCTCTTGTATGGGTAACTCCTGATTGGGAAAAGCCTTGGTTGGTGTGGAAATCAACTTCAGCAGCGTGTTTTTAAATGATGTGAATATTTCAGCCTGGAGAAGAGAAGTTGTTGGGGAGACCCAGTAGCAGCCTGTCAGTATCTAAAGGGGCTGTAAGAAGGGAGGGGAGGGCTCTGTAGCAGGGTCTGTTGTGATAGGACAAGAGGAAATGATTTCAAACTGAAAGAGCAGAGATTTAGATTGGGCATTAGAAGTTTTTTTCCAATAAAGGCAGCGAGGCACTGGCACGGGTTGCCCAGGGTGGTGCTCCATCCCTGGAGACACCCAAGGTCAGCGATGGGGTTCTGAGCACCTGATTGAGCTGTGGGTGTCTCTGTTCATTGCAAGGGAGTTGGACTAGGTGCCTTTAAGGGTTCCTTCCAACTCAAACAACTCAATGAGTTGACTTCATAGCCCTAGATGTCGAAGTCTTACTCTCTTATTGCTAATTTGGAGTTTAAGTGTAGACAACCTCTTGTGCATCTCCAAAACCCTCTGTGTACCCCAACAGCTGTTATGGATGATGATCCATCTCCCTTCTGCTTTCTCCCCCAAGCAGAGCACCCTCCCACAGATGGTCCCACCATCCCCTCCATCTCCATCCCCTCATTCAAATCACTGTCCATTATTTCACTGGCAGCATGGGGTAAAGTACCAATGTGTGCACGTGGGATAGGAGCTGGCAGATAGAAACAGCTAACAGTGGTTGGGAGCTGGATACGGATGCAACACACAGGAGATGAGGCATAGAAATGCTCCTCAGGTTTACCCACAGCACCAGGAAAACAGACATACTGTGTTTGCTGTTATCTTGGCAATCTTGCTTTCGTAGGCTGTGCTGGGTTCTGGCAGTGTGTGCTTAGGCTGTCAGCTCTAGGAGATGAGGGCTTGTTTTGTGTTTGTACAGTGCTGGGGCCTGTAACTGGGGCTGCAGTGAATGCAAACAACCCACAGCTCAGTAAAGCACCAGTGTGCTGCAGTGAGTGGTCCCAGCCTCTTGCTGAGCTCCAGGAGCCCAGGCTGAGGTCAGTGCAGGTATGCTTGCCTCACGTCCCAAGTGTCACAAGCTGTTACTCCAGTACCTGGAGTGCTTTTCTCCAAAGAAAGGCATGCTCTGATTCCTGTGATTTCAATTTATTTGCTAATTGCTGATGAAAAAGCTGAGAGCTGGCTTGGCCATGCTGCTCTGCAGAACTTCCCTGCAACCTGCCAGGGGAGGCTGCACCTGAGGGTCTCCCAGCTGCTCTCAATCTGCTTCATGTGTGCTTTACTGGCATGCATCATGCCTGTGTAAATCCAGGATATTGTGAGGTGCAGAGCCCAGCATTGCACCAAGTCAGGTTACGTTCTGCCTAAGCAGTTACTTTGATCCCCAAGGCTGGATCTCATCAAAGACTGAAATCAGTTTTGTTTGACAACACCTATTTTCCATTAGCGATGTTGACAGCATTAATTATATTCTGATGCTTTAATTCTTTATTATTGAAATCACACATCAGCGATAGTCATTATTTTGCAAGGGGTTGATGTTATGCTAATCAGCTTGCAGCTAACTGGGTCATCCCACTCACTTTTTTTGGCTGTGGGCACGCTACCACTCTTGTACTGGAGTCTCTGTGGTCTGCCAAGACTTATTTTAAACAAACATGAGCAAGCCAGAATTTCTCAGCCAGCTCTCTTAGGACTCTTGGGTGCAAGCTATGTGATAATATTTATCCCTGTTATATATTGTTTAATGTCTTCCTTGGTTACTAATGGACTGGAAAGGAGTTCATTGTCCTCAAGTGATGCAAGTACATCATCTTGCTACTTTGCAAAGGCAGACCAGATATTTATGGGAAACTTCTGCCTTTTCTGTGTAATTATTAACTGTTTTATTCTCTCCATTTTTGAAGGGACTGGTACTTAGTTTCATTTGTATTGGTCTCTGAGAATCTCTTCTGTGTTAGCCCATTGGATCACAGTCGTCTTTGTTCTTGCTTCTGCAGGTACAGTCCCCAAATCCCAAGGAATGGAGCAAAAGCTCAGCCTGGTAACCACGAGGGGAAGATGAAAGGACCTGAGCCAGTGATCAGCCAGATTATTGACAAGCTGAAACACATCAACCAGGTTTGTTGCAGGCTTGCCAGCAGGGATGGCTCCAGAGTGGGTGGTTTCCAAATCAGTCTGACTTCCCCTATGCTGTCTTTGGGCTCAGCCAAACAACTGCGGGCAGCTTTGGGTGCAGAGCTGGTGCCACCTTGGCCCCGCTTGTTGCCAGCACGTGTGGCGGATCCTCCTTCAAGCCCTTGGGCTAAATAGGAGCATTTGGGATCAGCCTGTGCCTAGGTGCTGGATGCATCCCTGTGCTGCACCTCTGCTGGGTGTTCATCCCTGGCACAGTGTGAGATGGTGCTGCTGTGTCCCTGAGCATATGATGCGGGTCGTGTGGCATGTGCCCAAAGTCAATTCTGTTTGAAGTCCCTTTTTGCTTTGCAGACAGAGAGGGTCACTTGCTTCTTTGCTGTATGTCCTTGGAAGTCCTTTCCTCGTCACTGCAGGGACAAGTGGCCATTAAATGGGAGTGTGGCAGAGCTGGGTGAAATCCTTTCTGCCATGCTGGGAACTTCCTTCCCACGGTCTCAGACCTGGTGTCGTTGCAGAGAGGCAAGCAGTATCTTGTCTCTACCCATTGTGCCAGCCCAGTTGAAGTCTGTGAACAAGCCCCACTGCTGCCTAGGGGTTAGGGGGCAGCTCTGCACTGTGTTCAAGTGGTGAAGGGCGAGAGCTCTGCAGAGGAAACTGCCTTCCACATAGTGCAGCTGCTGCAGGGAGAGAGTTTAGCTTCCCAAAGCTCTCCCACAGCATTGCCTGGAGCCAGTCCTGCCTTCACCATGCCCCCTAGACTGGCTCTGCAGCCTGTGTCACTGTGTCACTCTCAGAGGGGACCCTACAAGCTGACAGCTTGGACCTCTGTGCTCTCTGGGAACAGCCAGGCAAACACTTGGGTAGTAATGCTGTCTTCCAACACGACTGAGCTTCCCACTCTCCCCCAGAAGAGCTTTTCCTGGTGAGGACGTTGCCCACGATGGCCGTAGTGTGATTCTTTTGGCAGCAGCAGCTTCCTGGGGTTCAGCCCAGCTGCACTGGGGCCGGTGGGCTGGGAGGGCTGAGCTGCCTGAAGTTGCTGGCGTAGCGACTTTTCTGCTAACCTCTGCTTTCCTGCTCCCACGGCTGCTGAGGACTGTTGTGACAGCAGCTCATGCTCAGAGCCCTGTGATGCCAGCACGCCTCGTTAGCCACTGTATGGGAGTGGGGTGCTTAGGGTCCCCGGCACATGGTGATGGCATTGCAGCCATGCTGCCTTCATGTGTGGAGCTGTGCCATCTGCCAACAGCATGTAATTATTAAGGGAAGGGGGGGAGGTGAAAATAGCATAATCAGCTCCCTATTAAATGGGGTAGAGGGCAGGCTTCAACCTGCAGGTGATAATGATATTTTGCCGTTCGCAGTGAGAAAGTCGCACCGAACAAAACATGGTTATTAGTGTACTTGAAACTGCTGACATAAAGTAGTTGTGAAATGCTGGCTGCCAGATTAGGTCAAGTTAGGTCTTTGCTGAGCAGTTCAGGCTGCCAAGGAGCTGAGACTCGTGGAACGAGAGACCCTGGGTAAACACAGCTCGGCTGGGTACAGCTGTGTGCAGCCCTGTCCTAAGAAAAATAGGGGTAAGTGGATGAACATGGGCAGCTCCTGGGCTCTTATGGGACTTTCTCTTGTTTGCCTGTAGTATCAGGTTGGCAAGTTGTAGTGTTGTGGGGAGCGGGTGAATTGTTTTGCTTTGAGGAGGCAGGAATTTTAAGAGTTTGAAGAAATCAATCCCTTTGGAAAGTTGTGTTTGAGAAAGAGCAAGAATAAAACAGGGAGAAAACGGAAAGTGACTTGTGAAAATTGTTTATGAACGTAGCTGTTGGTACTGAGGATTGATGTTAAGTGACTTATATCCTGGTAAAGTATCATAGAATCATGGAATCATAGAAGTGGAGTTGGAAGGGATCCATAAGGATCGTGCTGTGGATGTTACTTAAGTTTGGGATTTTGGGTGTCAGAGCTCACCACCACACTTATTTTCTTGGCCTACTGAAGTTTTGTGATCTCCTTCACATCTGGAACACATCTTGAAAACCAAAGAAGTAGGAAATGTGGAAGGAGCAGCTCTGGATGAATTACAGTTGTTTTTCAGGTGTTGGCTCCGGATCTGTGAAGCAGTGTGGGCTCTCAGGGTGGGGAGGGCTGAGAAATGGTGCATTGACCAACACGATGGGCCGTGGTTTCTGAGGTCTTTCAAATATCCAGAGCCCTCAAGAGAAAAGAATGTTCGTAGCGCTCAGAGCTCTAACCTGGATTCCTGTGTGACTGCAGGTATATTACGGAATCCTCCTCGTTTGTTGTGCTGGAGGTTCAGGTCCTGAGTCCATACAGGTGGACGTGGGAGCTGTGCCAGTTGGTGTAGCTCTTGTTAACTTCAGGCTGCTCACATCATCGAAGTAACGCGTGTTTTTTCAGCAGGGCACCAACTGAAGTTGGCTGAACTTGTTTGGTCAACGTGTTGCATGAGGAAATCATTAGTTCACGTCTCCTCAAACGGAATCTGGTTAAGTGCAGGCAGGCTTCTCCAGTTTGAAATGAGTGGTGTTTGTGCACCAGAACCAAATGCACAGGGACTGGAAAGGGTGCAGAAAAGCGAGCCTGGAGAGAAAAGGAAGTCAACAAGTTTGCCAGCTTGCATTAGTGTGGTCTGAGCACCTTTTATCATGCTAAAATGAATGAGCGAATGAAGCCCGGCTGTCTGAGCAGCGTGTTGCCTCAGGTTGGTTCCTTCTGGATGAGTCACACTAGATGCCCACTCATCGCACTGTAACTCCAGACCATTTCTGTTTGGTTGGAATGTGAGGTGGTGGGTGGTGCTATTTTCTTCACACATTGGTGGATGAGATGGTTTATTACGGCTGTGTTGGATGCGAGGATTTCTTTTTGGTTCTGTTAGAGGTCTACCAAGCTGTGATTTGAGTTATTTTTGCTCTTTGCCCAGAGGCATGAATGGCCCATCCATAAATATTAGCATTGTTATCTCAGCTGGGAGGCCAAGGGTCACCTTCAGGAAAATGAGTTTGAAGCAGTTCCTAACTTTTATTTCCCAGAGTCAATGGGGTCTGTTTCTGTCTAGAAGGGTTTTCGCTCATCCCACACGTGAGAATATATTGAAGTGGAAAGGTTATTCATTGTCAGCACGAGGTTTTGTTCTATTTTTTGTGACTTAGTAGCGTTCCTAGGCAAAAAGCAGTGTGCAAATGAGTTATTTCCTCTGTTTGCTCAATTTTCTCCCTGCCATGGGGATGGGCTGGCAGATGGGAGCAAGGTTTAAGCTTTCAGTAACCTGCAAAACATCGTGATGAGCTGGGGCAGTGGCTGTTCCTGTTCTGCAGGTGGGCAGATGGAGCAGTGACATCCCATACGAAGTCTGGGGCACAGCAGCATCTCCCAAAGTTTAAGCTTCTGCCCATTTCTGATATCTTCCTATGCTTAGATGAATCCTATTGTTTATCATAGGACCATCTCTAGGAGGAAGAACTCAGTTTTAGAAGAGAAGGGGGGAAAGAAATTCACTAAAAATGAAGAATAAAATCCATAAAAGGAAAATTAAGTGAGAGAGATGTGCCTTCTCAAGACTGAAGGGCCTGGAAACGTATTGTACATTTCCAGACACTGGAGTTAAGGGCTCATTTAGAATATTTCAAATATACTAGAGTCTGACAGTTCTTTGGTTTCCACATCAAACAATCTGTAATTTATTGCCCCATATAGGGACTGTGTTTTTATCATATTGCAAATTCTCTAGCCAGAGATCTAACTACCACATAAGCCCTTGGAAAAAAAAACCCTTTGGGGATCGGAATCCAGGCAGCATGTTTGCACAGACCCTGAGAAACCAACTTTGATTTATTTCCTTGGAAATAAGGGGAGCACGGGGTTTCGTGGAGCGTTACGGCTGGGCAGGATCCTGCTGCCTCTTCACATTCATGGCTCAGCCCTGCAGTGGGAGCCGTGTGAACAGACCCTGCCTGCTCTTCGTGGGCTTTACGGGAGGATGAGAGCAACATGCCCAAGTTTTACGAGGCTGTAAAGCACGGAGCTCTAGATGGGAGGGAAGGAGAAAGAAAAGTAAGCGAAGAGGGGTGAATGGCTGAAGACGAAATAGACTTAGTTTGCAAAAGCATGTGCCAGAGGTTAAAGAGCTGTGTTTGAAGCTGGTTTGATCAACCAGTATATCTGATATTTGTTTGTGGGTTTAATGGCCTGTTTCTCGGAGGCCTGGCTGCTGGGAGAGGGCACGGCAGAGGTCACCTAGAAGTTAATTTGGAAGGAGGCCAAAAGGCCACAACTTGATTGAATCAAATGTAAACAAAATGGGCCTGGGAACAGCATGGTGTGTCCAAGGGATGGGGATGGGGGTGGCAGAGGGTCAGATCTGGTCCCCGCGTGGGGAGACCCACACATGGGCTGTGTGTGGGGCACGGAGACGGCTGTCCTTCTAGGGAGGTGATGGGGGCTTGGGAACGGCCTTGTGGATGCTGTCTCTGGTGGCTCAAAGTGGGAAAGTCCTTTGGGTGTGTGGTGGTAGAGCGACGGGCTTTCAAGGCTGTATTTCTCCTTCACATTCAGCGGAATCATGGCTTTCTGTGTCCTGCCAGGCTCAGTGAGCTTCATTGCTCCCACCCTCTTTCAATTCCCTGGCTAGATGAAACGGTGTAATGATTAGAAGAACGCACGGACTCCCAGATTGCTGGATGAAGTGATGCACAACGCTCGACTCTTGAAAATACACTACTTAACTTGCACCAAAACTAGTCACTTTTGGCTAATTTTCCACTTTTAAACACAATAAAGTAACGCTACAATATCTGAAGCACTGTATATGTGTAATATAATTTATCAAGTTCTCAAAAGAAAAGTTAATAAACACAATAATTGCTTGGACACGCCTTTTGTTCAACATTATTAAACAGTTTGTAACAATTAAAATATTAAAACCACATGTTGTTGAAAGCAACCAGACGTTGCAATTATTT